GGTGGCCATTCTGATAGGTAGGAGGTGATATCTCATTGTGGCTTAAATTTGCATTTCTCTGATGATTAGTGATGTTGAACACCTTTGTCTATTGGTCATCTCTGTGTCCTCTTGGAGAATTGTCTATTTAAGTGCTTTGCTCATTTTCTAATTGGATTTTTTTTTATGTTGAGTTGTATAAGTTCTTACTAGGATGTTAGCTCCTTATTAGATGTGTCATTGGAAGATATGTTCTCCTACTCAGTGGGTTGTCTTTTCATTTTGTTGATGGATTCCTTTGCTGTGCAAAGACATTTTAGTTTAATGTAGGCCCATTTGTTTATTTTTTATTTTGATTCCCTTGTTTGAGAAGATGTATCACAAAAAAATATTGCTACAAGAAATGTCCGAGATTTTACTGCCTATGTTTTCTTTTAAAATTTTTATGGTAGTAAGTCTTACAATTAAGCCTTTAATCAATTTTGAGTCTATTCTTGTATATGCTATAAGGAGACAATCTAGTTTTATTTTTTGCAAGTATCTGTCCAGTTTTTCGAGTGCCATTTATTGAATAACCTGTCTTTATTCCATTGTATGTTCTTGCCTCCTTTGTCAAATATTAATTGAATGTAAAGGTGTGGGTTTATTTCTGGGCCCTCTTTTCTGTTCTATTGATCTATATGTCTGTTTTTATGCCACTACCATGCTGTTTTGATTACTATGGCTTTGTAGTATAGTTTGATATCATGATTCCTCTTTGTTCTTCTTACTCAAGATTGCAGTGGCTATTCACAGTCTTTTGCGGTTCTATATAAATTTTTGGTTTATTTAGTCTAGTTCTGTGAAATACGTCATTGGTGGTTCAATAGGGACTGTGTTGGATCTATAGATTGCTATGGGTAACATGGACATTTTAACAATGTTAATTCTTCCTAAGCATAAGCATGGTATATGCTTCCATTTACTTGTATCTTCTTTAGTTTCTGTCTTCGTTATCTTGTAATTTTTTGATTATAGGCCTTTTACCTCCTTGGTTAAAATTTTTCCTAGGTATTTGTTAATGCAATTGTAAATAGGATTGTTTTCTTAGTTTCTCTTTCTGATAGTTCATTATTGGTGTATAAAATTGCAGCTGATTCCTGGATATTTATTTAGTGTGCTGCTAATTTACTGAATTTATTTATAAGATCTGGTAGTTTTTTAGTGGAATCCTTAGGGTTCTTTATATACAGTATCATATCACCTGCAAATGATGGCAGTTTCACTTCTTCCTTTGTAGTTTGTATGCCTTTTATTTCTTCTTCTTGTCTGATTGCTGTGGCTACTACTTCAGTACTGTGTTGAATAAGAGTGGTGTAGGTGGACATCCTTGTCTTGTTCCTGATATTAAGGAAAATGGTTTTAGTTTTTCCCCATTGAGTATAATGTTGACTATGGGTTTGTCATATATGGCTTTTATTATGTTGAGATATGTTCCCTCTTATTTCCATTTTTGCTGAGAGGTTTTATCAGTAAATCATTGTTGGATTTTGTCAAAAGCTTCTTCTGCATCTATTGATATGATCATATGATTTTCATCCTTCATTTTGTGTAGGCAGTACATCATGTTAATTGATTTGCAGATATTGTACTAACCTTGCATCCCAGGAATAAAACCCCCTTGATCATAGTGTATGATCTTTTCAGTGTGTTGCTGGATTTGGTTTGCTTATATTTTATTGATGATTTTAGCATCTATGTTCATTAAGGGATATTGGCTTATAATTTTTTTACTTTGTAGTTTCATTATTTGGCTTTGGAATTAGGATAATGCTGGGCTTGTAAAATGGGCTTGAGAATTTTCCCTCCTCTTGAATTTTTTGGAATAGTTTGGGAAGGAGAGAGGTTAGTTCTTTTGAACGTTTGGTAAAATTCACCTGTGAAGCCATCTGGTCTGGGACTTTTGTTTGTTGGAAGTTTTTTGATTATTGCTTTAATTTCATTAGTTGGCTTTTTTCCATCTTGATTCTATTTTGAAAGACTGTATGTTTCTAGGAATTTATCCATTTTTTTCTATTGTCCAATTTGTTGGCATATAGTTGTTCATACAGAGAGTATGTCTTAATAACATTTTTTCCCTGCAGGAATAGAATGAATTGTTTCCCTTTAGTCGTTGATTCTCTTTCAGAAATCATTTGGGAATCAAAATGAAGGGAGGTATTTTATTTTCTTTTTCTAATCAATGAACATTCTGAAAATAATAGAAAAACCAAATGTTTGAAGGGTAACTTGCTGGAAATGCTCTCCATGAGCAGACACTGCTGTTCTCTTTCCCATCTGGTGACCTCCTTGGGAAGCACCCGCTCTGGGAAGGTCTCCGAGCCCTTCCTCTGCACTTCCTGTTCTCTGTCAGAACTTGAACGCTCCTGTCAGTGTAGTCTGTTTGTCCACTCACGTATCCAAGTACTTGTAATAAAAAGAAAAGAAAAAAGAAAGGAAGGAAGGGAGAGAAGGAGGGAAAGAAAAGAAAAGAAAAATATTGAAATTTTCCGTAGTAGAATCACATACTGAACAGCGAAAGGACCCAGGGAAAAGGCACGTAGCTCTCTCTACCTTGGGGGTGAGGGAGAGGTAGGGAGCGCTTTTTTAGAGGAAGGACATTTGATCTAAGTCTCTCGAATTTCTCATGGATACTTTGCCTTCTTCAGACAATGAGGTTTATGAGGCAGAGAATCCTTGTCTGATATCTCAGACCCCAGCACCTAGTACGGGGACAGGTTCATACTGGATAAATAGTAAACTAAGTCGACTGACAAAGACTTAAGTCAACAAATTTATAAACTTATTTACTACACAGTTTTCTACACATTACCTCATGTGCCCCTCACAACAGTTCTATGGCAGGGCAGATACTCTTATTCCTGGTGTCTAGGCAATGAATTCAAATTCAGAGAGATTCGACGTGTTGCCAACATTACCCAATGGGTTAGTAGAATAGACCTCAGGCGTCTCATCTTGTATATTTTTCACTCCTGGAAATAAGTATTTGAGTATGGAAATCGTGTGTTGAAATTCATAGCACGTGCTTTGCGGGTGAGACAGTAGACCACTTGAATGTCTTTGAATAAGGAAGGCTGTTCTTTTAGTGAGTCAAGCAGGGATGTTCTTCTGAACTGGAGCAAAAGTTTGGTTCTTCCACCGCATTTTAGAGCTCTCTGTGCTCCTGCCGGCACAGTGCCTTGTACCCAGTAGGCGCTCTATAGCTATTTCTTAGATAATTGACAGTGACCGAAAATGTATAATTCAGAGTCGCCTAAATTGGACAGAGTCTGAGCTTCTGTCATAAGCTTTTACCTCTAATTGTGTGTCACAGGGGACAAAGTGTGCCTGTGGTATGGATGCGTTCAAGTGTTGCTCTTTTCTTAGCTCAAGGCCTCTGAACGCACTGGCTCAGTTTTCTGGGGGGTTCGGCTGCTGCATTGTCCTTGCACTTGCACCCTGCCAGCCTGTCCCGGGAGCCTGTCCCGCCAGCCTGTCTGTGGATGCTCTTACTGCAGCACATGGAGGCATCTTCCAATGGACCTGCTTTTGTGTCTTTTGATGCTTTAAAAGATCTCAAACTTCCTTAGTGTAGAGTTTATGCTAGACATTTATTGCTTTCATTTCTAATTTACCCACATTTCATATCCTAAGATAATCAGAATTGTCCACAGTAATGTTATGACCTGATGCCTGACTTAGTAAAATTGCCGCTGACCCAGGTGAAGGCAAGGCGTACAGAAGTGTGAAATTACACATTTGCACATAGATATTCTGCCTCACTTCACACTCACACCCCTGAAGACAGGCTCATTTTGTACCGCCCACTCCTTTCCTGCGCCTGCCGCCCACGCCTTGCCAGAGGCTGCCCATCTCGGCCAGCAACAGGCTCCAGACCACAGACACTCTCTGAGTTCTTGCTCAGTCTCCTCTGTCCTGCACGTCTAATTCGTGTTCCTGCCGAGTTGCACTGACCTCTGAAATGTTTCTGAAATCAGGGGATTCGAGACTGTGTCTTAAACCCAGGTGGGAGCGCTTTGCCAAATTTCCATTTTTAGCTATGAAATCACAGGAAAGGACCAGAGAGCCCTGTCAGAGTTTACTGTCAAATCTACACAAGGACTTGCATTAAAAAATAAGATTTGAAGGAGGTTTCAGTGTTAGAAGACATTCCCCCTGTATACTTGAGTAAGAATTTCTTTCATCATCTCTGGAAACACTTGCTTTTTCAAAACTGTCCCCAAGCAATGGAACAGACCGTGGGAAATCCTCAGCTTGTGGTGCGTGCAGGTGGTCGGCGCCTGTCTGGTGAGCGAGGACACGCGCGGATGAGCAAAGGTAGAGCGAGCCTGGTGAGAGCGTCCGGGCTCTGCTCCTGCCTGTCATTTTTGCGGAACAGGAATCTGTTTTTCACTTTGTTTGGGTTTGTTTTTCTAAAAGCAAGACAAATGCCAAGTTTTAGAATCCACCTTTAATATTAATCATTACTAGGGAAACACCATTACATTTGTGCCCCAGGCTGCTGCTGAAAGGCATTGTATTCTGCAGAAAATCCAAGGGAGTGCTGTAGAAAGGGTCTGTAATTGGAGGCTCGGTGGTGCTGATTATGTGTTGATTGTGTGTTTAAAATGACAAAAATGGATGTCAGGGGCATGTGGATTTCAATCTCGTATTCTTATAGTAATACTAACGTTCACAATTCTGTAAAGGTTCTGAAGACTTATCTACTGATTGATTGCCTTGTGCTAATGTTAGCCATACTTAGTAAAAATGACATCATAATATTGATCCTTAACTTATCCTTTACCCATAGAAGAATAGAGTAGCAGCATATTAAGGCCGTAAACCTTCAAGTACTAACAAATGGAGGCCAGTGATTTTTTTCTCAGTGAAGGCAATGATGATTCTAGTGGTTATTCTTGCAAGATAATTTTGTTCTTTGCCACATACTAAAAAAGCGAAAGGCAGAGAATTACTTCCTATTTCCTGTTTCTATCTTGCAGGGGAAGATGGTGAAAGGAATGGGAGGTGCTATGGATCTCGTGTCCAGCGCCAAGACCAAAGTAGTGGTCACCATGGAGCATTCTGCGAAGGTAACGTGTTCTGCTTCTGGAAATCCACAGTACACAGAATCCTGCACACTGGGTCCTATGGCCGTGGGTTTTCTTCAGCGTATTCATGTTGATAGCGTTTATATTTTGAGAAAAAGATTACAGGTAAAGGCAGTTATTTATTATCTGTTAGTTACACGGTTGTTTAACTTTGAATGAAGCACAAATATCGGGGCATTCTTTATCTGGCTTGAGTACACATTAAAAGGAAAAACTGTAATGTCTTCAAAAGCAGTGAAAAGATATCGAGGCAGATGTGTTGATTCAGTTTTTAAAATGATTATAGGGGTTGCTGTCTGTATGAAAAATGAAAAACAACAGAATATAGGTTTTCTTTTAACAACAGTTATTTTCAAATGGACAACACGGCCTCTTGCCGAGGCTCGGAGATGCCTTTTTGAGAAGGCGTTGGGAAATTGCGAACTCAGTGATAGCACTGGTCCTGATTGTGGAAAGTATGATACTTTTATTTTAACAAATTATCAAATATTTATTGAGTACCTGTTAACAGCCAGGCACTGCTAGGGTTTAGCAGTGACCAAAAATAAAAGAAATAATTGACCTTGTGGAGCTGACATTTGATGGTGATGAATGATGATGATGGTGGTGGTGGTGGTGGTGGCGGCTTCCATTTCCTGAGCTTACGGGTGCCGGCAGCACACTAAGCACTTGTGGCTGTGCGTTACAAGCACATGAACTTGATCGTAGGTGTCTTTCATGGTTCCAGAAAGACCAGCTGGGCCCAGCCACCTTCCCGACCCGAATCCATGGTCTTCTGATGACTTCAGAAGTTGATACTGGCAACTTTTTCTTCATTTTCTATGCCCTTTGTCCATTCTCTGTTATAATTCTTAGTTTTAAAGCAAAATCTACCTGTTTCCCACCTTGAGATCTGCCCTTCTGAGTAGAAGCAGTAGTTGTTGGCCCTGGTTTCACTTAGTGATACAGCCCAGTGGGAGATCATGGAGCTGAGAGATTAGCATCTGATGTGCTTCCCACCAGGGAGTTCTGCTGCAGAGGACTGTGTGCGGTGAGTCTGTTCTGCTGCAGGAAAACTGTAATTAACGTGGAATTATGGTGAACTGTTTAGTAAACAGTGGAGAGTGAGCAGCGGAACACAAATATGAAACATTGGAAATGAAACCAACAGAGGTTACTTCTGAGAGATGCCTGACAAAAAGCATGCAGAGTGGTTCATTTCAGAGGCAAAAGGATGCCAAGTATGCAAATGAAAGCGAGCCCTTTTCTGCAACATTATGTCTGTTTGGACAACACTCTTTCTGACTTTCCTTCTGCTGTTACTTTAATGTTGATGCATGGGCCCTGAGGTTCGGCTCATTTCAGGTTATTTTTGTGCATTCGTTTTCAAAACATTAGGCCTGTGTTTTAGCACATTCTTTCTTTTTTTTTTTCTAATTTTTTTCCCCCTCAGCTGGAATTTTTGGTAGAGGAGAAGAAATGGTACTTCAGATGTCTGATTAGAAATCCCATATCAAAGCTTTCACAGAAGTGGGACATTTCTTTTTTTTTCCTTTTTTTTTTTTTTTCTATTTCTTCCTTTTCTTCTCACAGTGAGGCAAGTGGCATTGAGTTTTAGAGCAGAATTAAAGTTAGGTATATATTTTTTCGTAGATACTTCCACTTGAATAAACTAACAAAAAATATACATGCGGTTAAAATAATACTAGTGATTTTTCACACTTAATACTTGAAAGCTAAGCAAGAGAGGTTTCTTCTCAGGCCAGCTGCACTTTTTGCCTGCAGCGCTCATACGTTTTGCTCGCCTGCGCTCGCTGTTGCCGGCCCAGCGCGAGGCTGTGTGGAGACGCACCCGCATCTTCCCGCACCGGAGGGGCTGCGAGGCAGAGAGAGAAGCGGCAGGTGTCTCCCTCCAGGTAGCCGCTCCAGGTAACGATCTGTTCTGTTAGACATGCCAGGCAACTTAGGCCTAATGATTCGGCGAACAGCCTCGAGGACAAATCCCTGGAATTGTGTAGGACACAAGAGTGAAAACTTTTGCAGCGAAGGATTAAAACCTGGGAAAAGAAACATCTGAAGCTGATTTTTTTTTTAGTAAGTGGGTGGAGCTGCTGGCCGGTTTTCAGGTACCACCTTCTTTTTACTGCATCTCAGGGAAACAGATGCAGGCTGCTTATCACTATGACTTGAACTTTAAAATCGTGCTTCTTTTTGTCGTTGTTGTTTTAATCAGAGAGTGTGTTTTAATCACTCTCTCCTTGTAAGCCTGTACAAGCAGCCACCGGCTGCTGGTATTGGAATCTCAGCTGCTCTGGAATGACCCCCAGAAGGGTTCCCTGCCGTCCAGCTGCCTCTGCAGACCGGACAGTGGGCCCTGGGGCCGCCCTGGCCCTGCAGCCCGGCTGTCCTTGACACGGACATCAGGGTTGCAGGGGAAGTGGCAAAGCAGGCAAAGGCTTCGGTGTCCAGCACCTTCTTTCTCGAGCTTCTGTTCGTCTCTTGGCATGTCCTTCTTCTGCCCTCTACAACTGGGAAGAGCACAAACGAAATGAGTGCCAGTTTGAGTCCTTACTCCATTCCAGGTCCTGTACTTGCCTTCACACTTACCGAATCCCATTAGCCTCTCAGTGACCCTGTGAAGCTGGGACGAAGGCAGGTGAGAAACCTGCCTGGATATGTGGCAGAGGTAGGTGTGTCCCTCAGTGTGGTCCAGCCTGTATCCATCACCTCGCGTCTGCTGCATGCGCACCAGAGCTGCCTCTGCACCAGCATCCCGCCCCCACCTGCCCTGTACTAGAAGCTTTGGGTTTCAGAATTACCTCTTTTTCTCTCTCCAGTTTCTCTCTCCAAGGCTAAAGCTCTCCTTGCTTTGGTGAGGTAGGTATTGGCCAGGTACGTAACCTAGTCTGCAAATCTGATTGTGTTTGTTAGTATCCAGCTCCCCTTCTTCCTTTCTGTATTAGAGTCCTCCGTGTCTTGCCTGGGCGTGTACATACTAGCCCGGTGACAGACTGCAGCTCCCAGACTTCCTTGCATGTGAATGCATCCATGAGACCAAGCTTGGGCCAGTGGCATTTGAGCCTTTGCAAGTGTGTGTCAATTTCGAGCCAGGTCCTTAAAGATAAAAGCTGACTTCATTGGCCTTCCCTTGTCCCCCCACTCCCCCAAGCTCTGCAGCAGGAGCATTGGACCCAGCCTTGTAAACCGCATCCCTAGTCTCACAGAGCTGTCCCCCATCCCAGCTCCCTGGGTGCCCTGTCCCCTGCTTTACAGGCTCCTGTGGGGGTTCCTTATAACCCCACCCTGGGCTCTCGGCTCCTCTCACCCTGTGCACCTTCTTGGCTGCTATTGAAGGTCTTGGCCCCAACTATTATTTTTCCCTCTGGAATCCTTATTTTCACAATGCAGTTCCACAGTGGAATTCTCTGATGCACCGTAGAACTGGATGTGTTTCTTCTTATTAGACAACTTCACAACTGCACCTGGTTGTTCCACACCCATCTCCACAAGAGCACGCACGTGCACGCGCACACACACACACACACACACACACACACACACAGAGGAAATCATTATCATTTCCCCCGAAACCTTCTTCCTTCTCTTGGCCCAGCCTCGGTGGGGCGGCCTCCCAGCCCTCACACTGAGCACTGGGAGTACCACGTCCACAGTCCTCCTGTAGTCTGCGCCCCCTGTGTATTTCTGCTCTCTTTGTTTAGGTTCTTGTCCCATCTGCGTGGATCCCTGTTGCCACGCCCCAAAGGTCCCCATGCTGTCAGACCGACCCTCCTCCTTAGCCATCAGGTGCCAGAGTGAGCAGCCGCACGCAGGAGCTGCCTGCAGGCCACACCACAGTTCATGCTGGCCCCCTGGCCTTCCGTCCGCAGCTCCCCAGCGGGCTACCTGTGCCCCAGTTCCGGGGCCTCGGCTGGGCTAGCACCCCACAAATGCATCGTGGTCTTTCCTGTGCTCAGGTCCCTTTCCCTCAGGAAATGGCTCACTCCTGCCTCTACCCAATCACACCCGGGCGAGCCAGCATCTTCTGATGGTTGGCTCAGTGCCTTCCATCTCTAGATATTACAAGTGACCAAAGGGATATGCATGCTTTGACGCTTTGTCTTGAAATTTGGTAGGATTGCCGTCCATGAGCATGTCCATTGGCTTGTTTAGGAAGGAGTCAGATCTTTATTGAGAACCCAGCAGCAGGCATCATAATGGGGTATGAGAAAATAAAAACTGGAAAGACCTGGTCCTTCCTTGCGGCAGCTCAGAGTCTCACGGGGACGGTCATTGAAATCAATACTTAGAACAGGAGAGTGTGGGAAGCAGCATGAAGAGCTGAGCGCCTGTTTCCTTTAGATGGGAGCTCTGTGTGGGAGGCGGCATTTGCGTGGGGATCCAAAGGCGGGGCCAGCGTTGGGTCCCAGAGCGCTGCAGGTCAGGGAGTGGGCCCCCGGGGCGCAGGAAGACACGCGTGTGGCGGGACATACAATGAGGTCCCTGTTGTTAAAGAGCAAACAGAGAAGAGTTGGGGGGAAACACACGCACACACATAGTCTACATTCCATGCAGTTGGTCAGAGTGATTTTTTAAAAAATATAAGTCAGCCCTGGCTGCTGTAGCTCAGTGGATTGAGTGTGGGCCTGTGAACCAAAGGATCATGGTTCAATTCCCAGTCAGGGCACATGCCTTCATTGCAGGCCAGTTCCCAGCAGGGGACGCACAAGAGGCAACCACACATTGATATTTTTCTCCTCCTCTCCTTCCCTTCCCCTCCCCTTCCCCTCTAAGGTTAAATAAATAAAATCTTTTAAAAAAGTACAAGTCCATCACATCACTTCTTCCTCATCTCAGACACTCTCCATGGCTTTCCATCTCACTTAAATTCAAGTTCAAAGTCCTTACCATTGTCTCTTAGGCCCTCCATGGTCTGTTGACTCCAGCCCTACTCTCTGATTCCGTCCACTACCATTCTCCCTCTCAACCTCTCAGCTCCAGCCACA